TAAAATTATGAAATAGTTCTCACATGTATGAATAAGGTTCAGACCAAAAGCCAACAGATTCTTTATCCTTTACAAACATTTCAGTATTTTAGATTGGTCATGCCTAGATTTTTGAGTGTTTAGCTTGAAATCCTGAAACTCTTTTTTCCTCTCTATCTCTTAGTTCTTCAGTTAGTACTACTAATCAGATGTTCATGTTTTAAACTTTAAATGGATGTTACAAATGAGGATTTATCTGGGCATAAAAAAGAACTAGTTTGTTTTAAATTTAAATCACTTTTGGGGGCAAATTGCCGTTTGAAACTCCAGATTTTTTAAGACATTTATCGGCCCTGGTACACAAAAACACTTAAAAGAATGCTTAAGGAGTTTCCTAAAGTAGACATATTTTGCCAAGTCCTGAATACCTTATTGATTATTCCCCCCTGAAAGTGGCATGAATATGCAGGATGCATGAATATTTTCAGTAAGTTTTGAATTTCTCCAGGACATACGCAAAAACTCTGTGTGTCTTAGAGCGAGTCATTAATTTCATATGCAGAGGGAGCCTCTGGAGCACTGAAAATCTGCTGGTTCACATCTGCCTATATTTGTTTTAGTGGATATAAATGTATATATCTATATACATTTATATCCAGAAGATACCGGCAACCTTTTGCTGCGGTCTTTGTGTCTGCAGACAGCGCTTCTGTACAGCTGAAGATAGTAGTGGGTGTTTAAGTTATGATGGACCAGGGGTGCCGTGGTCTTCACAGCATCAGGGGTGAGGTGCAGAGCTTTTGGCAGATGTGGTGGGCTCTGCAAAGCACAGTGGTTGCCCAGGAATGAGAGGGGTGAAGTGGGCACAGAGAAAGCGGAGATGGTTCTGCATGACGTGGTCTGAAACCTCCAGGGTTGTGGAGGGCACAAGTTGGGGACCAGGCACGGGGTGTAGAGGCAGGAGAATGGAATTATATTCCCAGACCACCCTTGCCCTGTGCTGGACAAACCAGCACATTGAGGTGGCTGAGTGGTCTGGGACAGCATGGAATTTTTTAGCTGCTTTTCGGAAAACGTTCTGAGAGGTGGCAGAGTGTGAAGGGGTAACCTGGCTATGTCTGGCTCATTCTGGCTTTTTTTTCACAGTGAAGGCAAAGTGCATTTCTCCTTCTGATGAGGACAGGTTCAGAAACGTTAAAAATTCAGATGTTAAAAATTCAAACCTTAAGCACTCCAGTGGACGTAAAGCTGATAAAATGGCAGCACCACAAGAGCCAAAGTTGTGCCAACGTCCAACCCTGGGACCTCACTTTTACAAAGTGCCAATTTTTTGAGCAGTTTGGAGGTGTCCTTCATGGGTGGGTGCTCACACTCCAGGCTGAGAAAGCCATTTGTACCTTCATTCCAGAAAAACACTGTGCACCTGAGCTTGTGGGGAAGAACAGAAGCACCCAAAGCTTTCACCAAAGCAGTTTAAGTGGCCTGCAAATATTTCACCCTCTTTCCCCCTATCCAAGAGATGGGTGAGGCAGAGTTTGATTTTTCTGAGCAAACTGAAACAGCCTTTCCTGAAGGAAATCTCTGTGCCCATACAGAGGGGTGGCACAGCTTTCAGTCCTGCTGCTCGAAATGCTGTAAGTTTGTGTGCAGACAAGGCCCAGGAGAGTTATGTTGGAGCTATTAGGAGGGGAAGCGATTTTTTCTTAGACTGATTAAAATTCTTTGGGCTTTCTGTTTGTTTGTTTTTAAACACCTATTTAGCTTTTAATTAACATTTAAGAGAAAGGAAGCTGGTTAAATATTCAATACCTCCTCCCTTTCAATTAAGGTAGAGCAGTACACAACGTGTGATGAGGCCTCTGGGAAGTATGGAAAAACAGAGAAGAGCAGGCTCCTGATTATCATTTTCAGGGGGACAGGAGAGGTGAAACCCATCTGATTATAACTGCTGTTAACAATAATAATGTTGAGGTTTTTTTTGTTTTTTTTTTTTTTTAACATCAGAAAGCAGTTTAGAAATGCAATTATTCTTTAAAACCATATATCCTGTCTTTGGCCTTTAAATACCTCCATTTTTCCACTCCCATTCTTTACTCATTTCAGGTGCAAGCATGGAGGATTTTCTAATAGGCCTTTCCAGTAGCTTAGTAGGGAGGCTGCAGATGCTGGGGAAGTTGTTCTTCATGCTCCATGCCCTTATCTTCATTTTGATGCAGTTCTTTCTGTCCCAGCGAGTCAGCAGCCCCCAACCACACAGCCCTGGGAGCTCAGCCGAGCAAGTGAGAAAGAGCTGTATTGTCTCCATACTCTGGTCTCTCCCCCTTTCCCTCCTTCTCCTTGAAAAATCCAGTTACCTTCTGTCTGTGAGCCTGTTGTCGCTCAAAATTGCACATAAAACACACATAAAAGGGTGCCTCAGTGGAAGAAAGGGATTTGGAATATGCTAGTATTTGTAATTCGACAAATTCACCCTTCCTAAACTTAAATTCTTCCCTTTTGATTTTGTGTGCCCTAATTTATCTGACAAAATATTTTGTTTTGCTGGCCATCCGGTTTAAAAAAGAACTATGCTAGCTAGCAAAACAACCAAACCAACAAACCCATTTTACATTGTGGAAGCTCCTCAAACCACTGCCCAAAAGGTGATATATTTTTACACCTGCTGTATCTTCTACTGTGGTGAGACAACTTACCTGCAGAAAATACTTTGTTTTCACCAAATATCCCACAAAGATGATTTTTTTTTTTTTTAATTGCCGTGTTACATAAACAAGTTTTTAAAATGGAATTGCTGGCACCAGATACCAGTTGTGTAAATGTATGTGCCTAAATGAGTGGTTGCTTTTCAGCTTCTTTTTAAGGGATGAAGAGAGAGGAGATGCTAAAATGCAGAGCTATTGGATAGGTTTCATACACTATAACTTCAAGGTTTACTGGATATAGGATTGAATCGATTTTTAAAAACAGAAACAAATGTTTTGCAAAAAGATTTCTAACTGCATCTATTACAAGGCTTTCCAATTCAAATTTAAAATTAACCTATTGTGATGACACAATAATTTTTAACTTAACTGTTGTATGTTGTCTGATGACCTATTCAGTGCCGTGGATTTTTATTTTAAAAAAAGCAAAACTATAAGAAACATCAAAACCCAAGATATTTTGTCCATGATCCTCTCTTCCAACTACGTAAGCACATGAATATATTTACATATATGTCTCTTGTGATTATTTATCAGTAGAGTTAATGATGTGTATTTACTGGCTGGACTGAAACAAGAATTAATCCTATTAGTTCAATAATTGGTTATTTACCAAATATTTTCTTAATTATTGAGAGTCCATTTCTACTTCAGCTGTAAATAACAGAAAATCTCCCAACAATTTCAGCTAAAGTGGTATTTTACTCCTTTAAAAATGGTTTTCATAGCTTTTATAGAAGCATTTCATAGAAGTCACAGGAAAAATTTTGCAGTTGCAGAGGATAATAAAAGTAACACCTTTTGTCAGAAGGTCCAGTTTTTAAGTAAAACTCGTTCAGGCGAACTTCACCACTCGTGATTTTATTTTTTTTTTTAAAATTTAATTCAATTTGTAGACAAAAAAAGGCTGAAGGAAGTAGCATGTGTGTGTCTGGAAATAGCCAAATTCTGTTACATGGAGAATTCTGCACTACAATATGATTAAAAGTTGATGTGAGCAACCTAAGACAGGAGCCCCTCAATTGGCTGACCCTGGAGCCGTATCCTTTAGATGCAAATACCACTAATGTCAATTTTATCTCAGCTGGTTATAAATTATATCCAGTTTCAACACACCCATGCCATGGATCTCCAGAAGATGATAAAGCTGAAAAGCTGATGGAGGCAAAAAGGCATTTTTCCTGTGGATTTTGGAACAGGGTCCTGCCCAGATGGAGAGCACGGGCTTCCCGTTGAGAGGAGGAGAGATGAGGCTGTAGAGGAAGATCTCCCCTTTTCTCTGCCTGCTCCCAGTTATTCTCTGATAAAAGTATCTTCAGGAGGGCTTAGAGGGAAAGGAAGAATCAGCTCAGCAAGAGTATCAAGGAGACATCAGCTATTGTCTTCAGTGCTGTAGGCGGATACTTCACTAAAATAGAGAAAATATTAATTCACAAATATTTGTATTATACACCCAGAAATTTGTAGATGAAGCTCAATCTTACTCTTTCTTTATATTTTTGCCCCTTTTTCTTCCTCTCCAGATTCTCTGAAGTGGATATGTTGTAAGGACAATACTGACAAAAAGCCCTGTCAGTAAATCAATAACTTTTTTCTTTCTCTTTTTTAAGGAGAACACACACAAGAAACCAATTCACCTCATTCTCTGAAGAAGGATGTGGAAAATATGGGGAAAGGTAAAATAAATAAGGGCCTCTTACATTATAAAACTGCTCTTTGTTTTAATAGAATATGAGGATAATAGGGGGCACTTTCGTTCTGCACCATATTTTAAGCTTGTCAAGTAACATATGAATAATATATGGACCTTTGGGTGGATATAATTGAGATTAATGCATATATATCAATCAATACATGACACTGTAATATAATACTTTAAAATAATATATTACATTGATTTATATTCATGGCTTTCTGCACAAAATCTATGGTGGGTCTATGCAACACTTTTTTTTTTTTTTAATAAGCGCTAAAATATTTTGTCTTAAGAGTAATGAATTGCTCTGCAACTGTTCTTTCAAGAATTATTTATACAGATTATCAAAACCACTCTTTCTCTTTGTTAGAGGAACTCCAGAAGGTTCTGTTTGAGCAGATCGACCTACGGAGGAGGCTGGAACAGGAATTCCAGGTGTTGAAAGGAAACGCGTCTTTCCCAGTCTTCAGTAAGACACAAAATCTGTGCCTTTGGTGTTTTGTGTGTGTGTGTGTGTGTGGCTGGTTCTTGCCAGGCTGATAAAAACGAGAGAGGCTCTCAGATGTGCTGCCATGATCTTGAGCTGAGTTCTACTGAGGCCAGGCTGGGCAGGGCTTGGAGCGAGTTGGGATCGTGGGAGGTGTCCCTAGGGTTGGAAGGAGGTGATTTTTAAGGTCCTTTTCAACCCAAACCGTGCCATGATTCTACACTGATGCTTCTGCTGTGGCTTTCCAGCTCTCCAAGCAGGTCTTTCACAGGGAAAATACAAAGCAAGATGTTTGTTTTGGTGTACAGTCTACAGTTTTGGTAGCATTGCGTGCAGTGAGTAGAAAGAAACGCATCTGGGCCCTCGTGGGGTGTGGTGAGGTTGGTGTCTTAGCCAACACCTCAGGGGCTTTTGAAGACAAGATGCTTAATACTCGTTTTCAGGAGGTTCGTAATACCCATTCTCAGGAGGTTCCAGCTGATGCTGGAGAACTGATCTGGCCTTTTTAAGGAGTGGAAATTCCTGTTTGGATTTTTCCCTTTGAGAGTGGCCGCTTGAGATGGCCCTTCCACCACGGCCGCTCTGCGGGGTGCTGCTGTCCAGGGCGGTGGAATGAGCACAGCACATCTCAAATAAAACGAAATGGACACTTAGCAGGGTTTGTGTGAAGCTGCTGGAAGGTTGGGCTGATTGTACTGGGATGTGGAAAACGACCCCCTTGGCTGGGATCTCTCAAATGACACTGGAGCAATGACGGAAAGATTCTTCCAGGAGAAATCCCACCTAGATCAGGATGATCCCACTGGAAAAGGTGGGAACAGGGACAGCATTTTCCTATTGTTCATAGAAAATATGCTTGTCCCCTTTCTGTAGCATCAGATAGGTAAGTTCAGGGAAGCAAGGCAGTGTGAGGACTCTGGGAATGATTCTGTCTTTAGCCCAAATATTGAAAGATGTAGACAGCTCCATAAATAAAGAAGAGTCACTTGACATGATACAGATATTAATGAAAGGAGCATAACCTCATCCTTCAGCATAAATCCAGTTATTACTTGGGTTTGGGAGTGAGGTAATTTTCAAATAATTCGTGGAGATCAAAACCCTGCTGTGTGGTATTGGTGAAATGGCATCTTGGACTTTTGCCACTCAAGTCTCTTATTCATCCTTTTGTTCTTCTACAGTAAAATTAATCTCTGTCTTTGCCGTGTAAATAAACACTGCAGTTAAACCACATGAAATACAATTCAAATAAAAGAAAAGAACAAGTACGGCCGACCAAGGAAGTGGTGACTGCTGTATGCTGGCTTGAAAAATATGTGGTTTCAATGTACCACAAAGTAGTGGTCAATTTTCTTCAGGATTAAAATAGAAAACAGATAATGTGCTATAAACCATACCTACAAGTGACCGTAAAGCCTATTTACAGATTTAGATTTACCAAAAAAACCCACCCCTCCCCCACACGTAATAAAACAAGAGAAAAGGGTCTTTGTAAAGGAAATTAGTGTAAACCCATGTTAAGGCTGTTTTGTCCTCTTGTGCAGTGCATGTTCTAGCACAAGAGAGGGGGGCTGTTCCAGGCTCTTCCTGCTGGACAGAGCTGTTGCTTTGTGTCAGGTTAGAATGGTATTGGTACTGGTGTCTTGGGCAGGGAGGAGCCATGGAGAGAAGTCTTTGGGGACCCAGCTAAAAGAAAGTTGAGGTAAAATTTAAATTCCAATGAAAACTCATCTGTGTTTCAGCTGGGAGGCAACATGCGAGATGCAGAAGGCAATACTATTTCTCTCAGGAAAATGCTTCTGTCAGGTTACCTGCAGTTAACTCTAGAGTCACCTCTTTTGGGTCCTCCACTTGGAACTGAGCACGTTTGGGGTGTTATATCTTCCTAGCATCAAGCCATACTCACAACAGGGCTGTGCAGTAAATGGTGTTTGGTTTCAGAGTTCTCCTCTCGTTTTAATCACTGTTAAATGAGAACTGAGCTTATTTGCAAGCTATCTGGGTGGTGCTATGCTGCAGTCTTCTCTGTGACTTCTTGTACCTGTGTGAAACATGGACTGTGATAATTTATAAAACAGCAAGACCTTGTCTTCTGCTGCATTTTTCGCATTGCTGTTGTGCTTGAAAGCTGCAGGTGAAATTTGCCTTTAAGATCTCTCAATGCAGAGGTCAACTGAATAAAATAAAATTAAAAAATAATAAAAAAAATCAGATCACATGAAGAAAGTCAAAGTATTTGCTGTCCTGATAAAAATACAGGCATCTCTGCATGTTGACTGTGTGATGTCCTGGATGCTCTGGTTTGTACGCTCCGTGTCGGCTGCTCCGCGTTCTGTCCGTCTGCATTTTAAACAATGTGGCAATAAAATGGCGGAGACACAGTCTGGGTACTTAAAGTATTTAATTTTGTGTTAAGAAAGCTATTTAAATATTCATACCTTTTCTCCTGGGTACTGCTTATGGCTTTGTCTGTGAGCGTTTGGACTCGGATAAATGCCGCCGGAAAAAAATGCTGTCCCTACCATCAACACCCCATTTCCTCTGTGAGCTTGGACATTTGCTGTGCAGGGCTGAGCAAGATCCCTGAGCTGTTTGTTTGGAGATGTGATGAGCCCATGAAGAAGCAGCTGGGAGGAAAGCCTTGAGGAAAAAAAAAAACAAAATTTCTCCTTAAAGCCTGCTCAGAGTGAAGCTGAAGGACCTCAGCTGTAACTCTCAGCCCTTAGTGACCAGGACAGGAGGCAGCTACCTTTTTATACTTCATGGACTTTTTGGGTGTGGATAGGAAAAGAGGAATTGTAAATCTACTTTATTTTTGTTGGCTTATGTTTCTGATCAAATTGGGGTAGATGGAATAGGCTTAAAAGTTCTATGGGAATTTACTGGAAATCTGAAGAACTTCATTGCGATAGTGTCACAATGTCCTTTTCAATTTGGTTGTGCTGGAGTCCTGAGGGCTTCAGTTTGCCAAAATTTCTCACTCTTTCTCTGTTTCATTGCTCTTTTCCTGACCCCTTTTCTTTTAAACAACAATTTTATCTCATTGTTCAGAGAGGACAAAGTTCTTTTTTGAGAGGGGGACAGAGCTCTGCCCCCTTGTTTTTCTTCCAGGATAGGCTTGTTACTTGAATCAAAATGATAGTGGTTGGGGTGAATTTTCTTTCCTCTTCCATTTAGCAGCCCTTCCTTGCACCCTGACCTCCATCAGGCAGCTCTTTGAATTATTTGGTACTTAGTATTTGGTCAATAGTTTTGTTTATGTTTCTCTTTTCCCCCCCCCACCAAGAAGAATGTTAGGGACCACAGAGCATCAGCTAATCTTCTAAGAAATGAAGTTTTGTCTGAAATGGTTATTTAGGTTATTTAGGAGGAAAATCAGGGAAGATCTACTGGAGCAGGAAGGCCAGCCTGTGCTGTAACCCAGCTGCCCAGGATCTCTCTTTCAAAGACTTTTTTGCTTCCATATTCCACGTCACCCTTTATGGAGCTTCAGTTTTGTTCAAAGCCGTCAGCACAATGCTACAAACCACAAATCAAACCCTGCATCCTTGAACGCTTTCTCCTCTCACATGTTGGACATCGCTGTTGATGTCAACAGATTTATGCCAAAGCAAAGAAGAGCAGTTTTTGCTCTTCTCTTCAGGGCTTGAGAAAGTTTGACTAATGACTGCAGAGCCTTGCCTGTGCAGGAAAATAGCTGGGAATAAATGCTAGCAACACAAACTTAGCATCCTACATTTTCTGAGGGGGGAAATCTAATTTTTCCACCTTTTTTTTTCTGTTGTCAGTGGTGTCTCCTATTAGATACATACTTGTTAGGCATATGTTTTAACTGAGTGGAGGGCTTTTATAATGTTTTGTGGTTCCCCAGTAGTGAATGGGTTTGATTTAGCTTGATTTATGCAAATTCTGCCGTGTGGTCTCTGTTTTAATTATGGCACCTACATTTTCCTCTCATACAGATAATTTTCAAGATCAGATGAAGCGGGAACTGGCGTACAGAGAAGAAATGGTGCAGCAGCTACAAATCGTAAGTTTACTTTCTCTGACAAAAAATGTCTTCAGCTGCTGCTTTGTGTTTTTTAAGCGCACACCTCAAATTTTCCCTTTGTGAGCCATGCAGATGCACCATTACTGAGCTCCTATTGCCTTATATTTAGCAAGAGGTAAGCACGCAGCTCTCAGCTGGTTTGGAGCCTAATTACCTGGAGATTTACTTTCCTACAGTAACCAGATGGGTCTTCATGTTTTCAACTAAACAAAATGTGTTGACTCAACACGGAGAGGTGCTTCTGCAGAGAGGAGCAGGGAGTGAATCAGTGAACTTTAAGCAGTTAAATGTTTCTACCTCGTGTGAGTTGCCGAGAGGTGCATTTCAGCCCTCGGCAGGGAATCTGCTCAATCCCTGCCTCTCACCAGAAAATAAACCTTAGGATGTGTCTTTTTCTCGTTTTAGACGCTAGAAGTGCTTAACTCAGCAGTAAAGGATCAAGTTGCCAGAACTCAGTTTAGCGCAGGCACACGTTACTGTTGGGTCTCTTGCTTGTTATTTTAAAACCAAGAGGGATTTTGCCTGTGTGCTGGTGCAGCTCTAGATCATCACATCCAGCTGTGTTGTTTTGAAAAGCTGACGTTCTCAACCCAGTGCGAGCAAAGGGGCTGGAGCATGGGAAGCTGTTCCACGCTCATACAGTGCTCAGTGTGGTTACAAGGGCATGGTGAGGCTGTCAGCTAGTGCTTGCTTTGCTGGTGCTTTACTCTGTGATCAGTCTGACGTTGCTCAACAGGGTTTTTGTTTTTGAGGAAAGTTTGGCAAATATCCCCACTTCCCCGAATCAGCCCCGTGCTCCCCCATGGAAATTTTCCTTCTGCTTGTCACGGGGCCCTGGTGCAGAGAAGGCATTGCACAGCCTCCTGGTACTGTCATTTTCTAATTGGTGGGTTAGGACATAAAAGTAAAGCTGAAGGCCAGGATTGTCAAATTTGTGCTCCTGATATTGAGAGGCATTTAGGACTGGCCTTATTTTTAGAGCTGCTGAGCATCCACGCGCCCCGTTCCTGCTGACTTCAGAGATTTCAATGAGAGATGGAGGGTGTTTTTTTAAGAGGTTGTTTGTGGAGGAAACTCAAGTCCAGAACATGTCTGGATGGTTTTCTTTGCAGCTGGTCTCCACTTTTTCTCTTTAATGTGCCTGTTTGTTGCTGTGTCCCTCTTTGTGACCCGATGTCAGGCGGGAAGTTTGACTTGACCTGAGAATTTTGTTGTCCCAGAAAATTCTAATTAGGATGCCACCCTGAAAAGCACTTCCCTTGCTGCTTTGGACTTGAAGCAGGTGACCAGTTGGATTTCCTGCTGCAGAGCACTTCTAAGCACAAAGTTAATGGGCCCACCCCAGTCTTTATCTCTGGTGTCAGCTGAACTTGGAGCTAGCTAACTCTGCCTCCCAGGGAGAGAACAGATCACCTCTGCCATTCACCTTGTGCTCCAGTCGTGAAGTTGTTTCTGGAACTGAGTATCCCAGGTCTCCAACAAGCCAGATGTGGTGGCTTACCTAACTTTCTTGGGCAGGAATAGCAATATGATCAAGTAATTCACACCCTTTTCACTTACTGATGTGTGCTATGGAACAGACTAAGAGTAATTTAATCATTAAACAGAGCTGTCTGAATGAACTTACAGAGAACTGTTTCAAAATTTAATGTGTTGCACCAGCAACTCAGGACCTCTTCACTCCCTATAGATGCCTGAATTTAATTATTAGTAATAGAAATGTTGAATCACCAGTAAGCCTTCATGCTCATTTTTGTGGGGTAGGTTGTGATCAATGAGACTGCTAAAAAGATGTTTGTATGAAAAACTGAGAAACTGCTGGAAATAACCCATCTGATTGCTTAAGATGGGTGCAGAAATCTTCAGAGATGTCTTGGCTGATAACTGGAATGGAGTCAGCACTTTTGAGGTGATAATCCCAGCAATTGCTTTAATTCATTCATGGGAATATATCTTGTATGTTTATATCTAGAATTAAGATTAATGAACTGAATGTGGTAATAATAGAACTACTTCGGCCTTCCAGGGTTATTGCATGGATGAATTGATGCAGAATACACAAAAAGTGTGTCTGCTTTTGATTTTTTATTTAATTGCTGTTATTGTTTTGTTTTTAATTGGGGCAGTTAGGCTCTTTTTTTTTTTTTTTGTACCTGATATGCTGCACTACTACTTCAACCTAAGAGCTTTAACCTAATTTTCTTGTTAACACAGAAGTACAAAGAGAAAAGCAGAAGTGTTTCATACATACTGAAATTATAGTTTTACTTAGACCTCATAGGTGTATGCCTTTGTGGCGCTGAATTCAAAGTTTACTGATTTAACTAGCCACAGAACTTGACTTAATTGCTTTTAAAAATTGTTGAACAATTTAGATGCCTGGAATCAGGTGTTTTGTGTTTTTTTTTATCTTCTCACTGCTGAAGATACACAACTTGCATTAATCTTTCCTGAATATCCCTGGAAAGATTTAAGAGCCATGTGGATGGCACTTGGGCACATGGGTTGGAGTGGGCTGGGCAGTGTGGAGAAAATGATTGGATTTTAATATCTTGGAGGGCTTTTCCAACCTAAATGATTTTGTGATTCCCTGATCCCCTGCAACTCTGGGCACCAGGGGCAGGTTTTGGCAGAGCAATCGTTTCATTCACCCTAAACTGAGTAATCAGACTTTACAATAAATTGACCCAGCGTTTTTGCTGTTTGGGAAATGTCTGGAATGCAAAATGAACGTAATCACGAAAAAAAAAAAAAAATCGACCAAATATGAAAACTTTCCAGCGCCAACACCCACTGCAGCAGGACGTGAATCTCATGCCCTGCTCGCGGTGAACGCTGGCCATGTCGGTTTTTTGTCCCGTTGCGGGTTTTTTTTGGGGAGATTCCTCCCGGTTTTGGGAGCGCTCGGTCGCAGCGCGGCCCGCGGGTTCCCTCTGCCGGCCGCCGGCCGCCACTGCAGCTCAGCGCTTCGGTCCAGGTGCGGCTGCATCCCCGCCCTGCCCTGCTGCTGCCGCTCCGAATCCATCCCAGTGGAAAAATTATAGGATTTCGTGGCCTCCTGGAAGCCGGGGGTTTCCTCAGGCCACTGGAAAAACGGGGCGAGTCCTGTTCTCTTACACCTTCACCGGCGGATGCTGGGCTTCTCGCAGGCAGCCTAGATTAGGAGGTTGCTGGAGCAGCAGGATGTTGTGTGGCCACTGGTTTCGGTGAGAATCTCATTCGGTGAGGCTGCAAGTAGCCACTGGAGGTCATCTAGCCCAAGCTCCCTGCTCGAGTGGAGTCGCCCAGAGCACATTGCTCAGAACAGTTTTCCAGGCAGGTTTTGAGCACCTCTGGTGAGGAAGACTCCACAGCCTCTCCACTGCTCCAGGAAGGAATTTCTTCCTGATGTCCACGTGGAACTTCCTGTGTTTCAGTTTTCAGAGTTTTCAGAGTGTCTGGAGCAGCTACCAGGGAGTTTTGCAACCTATTTGTGCCAGGTTCTCCACCGGGTGCTAAGAAACCACCATTTAACAAGAAAATGGATTTTAGACTCCTGAATGCCTTTTTCTCTTCCTCCTCTTGCAAAGTGCTGTCTCCCAAATTGGCTGAGTACAGGGCGGGTACGTGGAGATCATATATAAAATATGGATTTTTCATGTGGATCCAGTTGTGCCAGGGGAGATTTAAAGTGGATTAGGAAAAATTTCTTCACTGTCAAGCACTGAGGTCAGCTGTTCAGGGCAGAGTTGGAGTCCCCTTCCCTGGAGGGGTTTCGAGGCTGTGTGGATGTGGCACCTGGGGACATGGGTGAGCTGGGCACCTGGTGGCATGGATTAGTGCTGGGGGAATGGTTGGACTCAATGATCCTAGAGATCTTTTTGAACCTAAAAGATTCTGAGGATCGTGTGGCTTTTGTTACTGAATTGTACAGAAGGGGCCAGTGAGGAGGAGCTGCTGCCCAGCAGGGTGGGGGAAATTCTGACATGACACACATGGTAGAAGCTTAGGAGAGCTCACCTGCCTTTAGAGTTTTTGGTTCCTGTCCAATGAAACCGGAACTCTTCTGCTGGGACAGACCACCACTGTAAGCAATTATCAAGTCTCCTCCTGCCTGAGACTCTGCATCTGTCTGATATTGTCTTCTGAGCAACTGTGTAAGTGGAAAAAATCTTAAAAGCATGAGCTTTCTTCCTAGCTGCCTGGGGAGAGAAAAATATCAGAAGCAGAATTACCAGCATGATGATTTTCATCTTTAAATGTTTTCATGAACCCCTCTCAAACATGGCCATGGGGAAGTAGAACACCAAGCAGGAAATTTAAGCCTCTTGGAAACTGAGGAGCTTTTCTTAATTTTCTCTCTGAGGTGCCTTACAAGTAGTTTGTGGGTTCTCAGGAAGTGTTGACCTCAGTGGTGACCAGTCCATCAGGAAAAGCTCAGGGGGTGCTCATCACCCACTGTGGTTTAGATCATCGGGTGATGATCAGTGCCACTAATTTTACATTGGGGTAAAGTGTGACGGGTTTTTGAGGTGTGTTAGAAATGTGAAACACTCAGCCAGGCCATTCTCTTTTCAGATTAGGTGAAAAATGATGGTTTGGTTTTGTTTGGGGTATTTTAATTAGGTTATGCTCCTGTGAACTGACTTCTCCCTGCCAGCCTTACTTTGGGCTGATAATAATATTCAGAGCTCAGAACTGGATCCATCTGGAACCGCTCTGTGTTTTATGGCTTTCTGCTCTCAGTGCTCCTTTAAATCAACTCTGTTCTTCAGAGTCAGGCAATAAAATAAATCAGGAACTATCTCTCTGCAAAACTTATTTCCATCTCTGCATCATCTTTCACCCTCATCCTTAAAGATTGACAAGGAATGTTTAAAAGAAGAAAAAAAAAACATCTACCATGTAGTTAATGTGGATAAATCTTCAGAGGCATGGGAGCCTGTTCCTCTGGGTCACACTGTAATTCAGAAGAGCACTAGTAGTTCGAATTCCTAGCTTAAATTGTTTACAGAAAGCCGATGCTTTTGTACTGCTAATGTATTCATTAGCCAAACAAGAAGCACCCACATTTCTGTGTGTGGAGATGTTGGTCTCCGTGTGCCTACCTCTGTTCTCAAAAACAGGGAATGGGAAATAGCAGTGCTTCAGTGCCATTTGTGATTTCCGTGCTCGGCTTGAAGTGGTGCAGCTCAGATGATTGACCTTGGCAAGAATACAAACAGCTGTTCAGCAGAATGGCTCTCGGATTTCTTGAGTGGCATCTTGTGCTGAAGTGCCTGCTCACAGGCACACACATAATGACAGGTAAAAGAACATTTCTGGAACTCTGTGTCCTGTGTCCTCAAAAGGCTCATCCCTAATTGTGTACAGGAAAGTGAGCTGTTTTCACCAGAACCTTATATTCTGCTGTTCTCTATTCTCTATTCCACCCCCCCCAAGACAGATGAGCAAAACATCTTGACAACACCTGTGGATATGCCTTAGGTTGATAGGATAGAGCTGTGCCTCTTTTTCCAGTAAATTAAAATGTTAAAGAAAAGGATGCCATGTAGAAATTTAAGCAGAAAGCTTCCCTTCCATTAGAATCTGCAGAAATTCTGATCAAAAATGGCTGTGGATGTACAGGGAGCCAGCCTCTGCTACCGCATGAGTGCTAAATATTTTTAAATATTTAAAATATTTCTAGGCAACATGATGCATCATTGTGTACCTCACCAGAGATGGGATGCAGAGGCCAAACCCCTGAAAGGGGATGGTGTGCTGAAGCTTCTTTGGTATCTGAGTGTGTATAACAGGGGTCAGACAGGAACTTCAGAAATTACTCCCCAGTCCTGTCCCTTATCTGTGCTTTGGTTTGAGCCGTGGAGCAGGCTCTGGGCTTGCTGACTGTGTTCCTTCCAGGTGGAATAAACGGGGAATGCACACGGGACTGTGCTCCAGTTCCTAATGGGTACCAGGACTAAACTGGAGTCAGCCTGTAGGAAAAAGTACTCAGTGTCCATATTGCAATTTTCTTGGAGTTTCTCTTCAGATCTGCTCTTCATTGTATTTCCTACTAATGTGCACTCGGTCATGAGAAACTGTATTTTTGCTGCTTGAAACCGAACTGCCTTCCCTTTTGTTATTTCTGCACACCCTTTGAAAAGGGCCACCCTTTGCATCTCCGTGCCCCTTTGAGTACTGATCCTGCCCTCATCTCAGCAGCCCCCGTGGACGCACAGAGAGGGACTCTTTTGCCATGAAGATCCCTAAATCCTGTTCCACCACGGCATTGGAATTACTGAATGCTCTGACAATGAGATAAATGGAAGATGACATTGTTGGTGATTTAACTCATGGAGAAAGTAGTCATTTCCCTGTTGAACACCCACCTCTCCCACTCTCATCTATTACCAGGAGATCAGTTAAAACAACACGCATTAGAAAGACGCCGGTGTGCCAAATATAGCAGAGAAGTGGATTAAGAACAGTTAATTTCTGACGGAATGTACCCCATTGTATTATCTAGGTCAGTACAGCTTGGGAGATGTCCTATATAATTTGTGGCCATGCAAACCCAAGTTGGCCTTCGTGAGTGGGAGAGAGGCAGGAATCAGTTGGCGAGGCACCACAGGTCCCAGCTGGAATGTGCTGGTTTTTGTGTGCAGTTTGTTTGTGGCTCCCTTTTGCATCCCAGCCACGGCCACGGGTGACCAGGGAAGCAGCCTCTCTGCACCCCCTTCCCTGCTGCAGATTGGGAGGGAGTTTTGCAGCCTTTGCAAGCACTGTGTCCTGAAGGCAGCTGTGTTTGGGGGACGTGGTGGAGGGGACAGCTCTGTTTCTTGGGGGCGGATCTGGCTAAAAGCTGCCTGATACCTCCTATCTTCTGTCAAGGGAAGGGATTGTAAGAGTAGTCAGACAAAACATCTGGAATCTTCATCTTTTCTGGTCATCACTGGCTTATGCACACACATTTCCCCTTTTCCAGGGCTGTGTAGGGGTGAAGCAGCATGCCCCTGTGAAAGGCTTCTGCTTTCATTCAGCCACAGACACTGCTCCTTCCTTCCTGGTGCTGCTGCTTTCAGTCTGATTGACCTCCTTTCCCAAGAAATGAAACAGTTAGCTCTCAAGCTTCAAAAGCCCTTTTCTTCCCTCTCATCCTGATCCTTCCCTCCTCTTTTCCTCTTATTAAGGTAGGCAGGGATGGATAAGTCTCTCAATGTCTTTGCAGGCACGATGCTTTACCCCAGCCCAGAGGCATGCTGGGCACAATTCACATAAACATTCTCTGTGGGCACAACGTGTTTAAAATCAAAACAGGGACATCCCTGTGTTAGGAGTGTGTGGGGTCAGTGGATACGGATGCAAATCCACTGTGGGCAAATTCAAACAAATTTTAGTTGTGTGGGGCAGCTTGCTTGAACTGTCTGCATTTGCCCATCTGCTCCTTCTGCTGTTTGTGCAGGTTAATTTTGATCCTGACTTCAGCTAACATAATTTTCATCTTGCAGTAACATACTTCACATTGTTTGTGAGCATATTCTGGCAGCAGAAGCAGGTCAGCTCGGCATGCAGCAGCACTTAGGAGTGCAGGGACACAGAACTTCTTGATCTCCCAGCCTGAATTCCTCCAGCAGTCCCTCCAAAAATCATCATCAAAGAATTTGTAGCCATTTAGCTGGATTCCCAGCTATGGGGAAATCTCAGAGCAATTTAGTTTGTTGCATTCTAAAGGCCCAGCACTGGAGAAGAGCAGCCCTGTAATGTATTCCCAGTGGCCAATGGGCACATCATCCCACTTTGTTTCTAAATATAACTGTGTTCCCTAATATGCCCATGTTCTCTGTTTTTCTTTAATTATTTGTTCCACTTCAGTGGCTTCCCTTCAGATTGGTGCAAGTTGGAGATAACTATTATGAATTTCCTAATTACGGTGATATAAATACACGAATTCTCATGCTCCCAGCCTGCTGTATTTTGGCTGTGCAGGGATCAGTGTGCATTGCCTGATCTGTCACAGACAGCTGATTTTTTATGATCTCACAGGTGGCTTTACCCTTTGTCAGCCTCTGACATAAACAAAGCATCAGAATGTGTCTTTTACACTGAATTTTAAGATGCTATCTGTTGTTTTAATTCTGACAGTTTTTATTTCTGCTTCAACCCCCCTGCAGTTCCATAAAGAGTTGAACCTTTGTATTTAAGATGTTAAGATGTCCTACAGCTCCTCCCCATTTTCAGGAGGGAAAACAAAACCTTTCGTTTACAGGGATTTCCAGCTTGGGTGTTTCGTTAGCCAAACCTTGGCTTGAGCAGTGTCTCTGTTTCTGTGTCATTCCAGATTCCCTATGCAGCAAGCTTGATCAGGAAAGAAAAGCTCGGTGCACACCTCAGCAAAAGCTAAAGGTGAGCTCGTGAGAAGGAGACTTCATTCCACTTGACCTGGCTGCCTGTGTTCCTTTGCAGCCATTGCAAGAATTAAGAGGATCGTTCTGTTGTTTGATGTGGCTGGTTCTGGTCCCAGAGCCCTCCCTGTGCAGGTGTTGTGCAAGAGTCTAAAGCTGATAAATTACATCTGGCACGAATTACGAGGCTTCTCCGGGGTGGGAGGTGCTGCTGGGAGCTGACCCATGGGTCCTGCAGTGACAGGACAAAGGGTGATGGCTTCAAACTGAAAGAGAGTAGCTTTAAATTAAATATTAGGAAGAAATTCTTCCCTGTGAGAGTGGGGAGGCCCTAGCAGAGGGTGCCCAGAGCAGCTGTGGGTGTCCCACAGTGTCCTGGAAGTGTCCAGGGCCAGGTTGGATGGGGCTTGAGCACCCTCAAGGGAATAGTGAAAGGTGTCCCTGCCCATGGCAGGGGTAGGATGAGAGGATCTTGAAGGTTCTCTTCAACCTGAACCATTCCACGGCTCTAACTGCCTGAGCAATTGCTTTTCCTGACACTGAAGAGTGTCACCAGGGCCAATGTACCTTCAGTGGAAGGAGGGAAATATCTTGGCATTCAGGGTGCAAAAAAATCTTCACACTACTGCTCCAGGTAGGGAGGAGTTTTTCTGCCCTTAATGGAACTCCTCTAGCTCCAGGAAAAAGCAGCAGCACATCAGCACAATTTTGTGAGTCTCACAGAACCCCACTGACTGTGGTTCTGTAGTTCGGTGATCTACAGAAGGTAATTATCCTGCTGCCCATGCACAGGCCCTTCCTAAACCAAACACTACATTTTTCAGGACTGTGTTTTGGAAGTGTTCATTTAGTAGAAACACCACCTCCATCATCAGTGGGAGATTCCAGGTTTGGGTGCTGAAGTCTTAACATTTAAATGACATTCTCTTGGTTTTTTCCTGGTAAAACAAGATTAGGGATTGGAGACAGATGCCGAAATCTGGTAGCCTTGCTACTGTTTTATGCCACAAAATCTGGCTTGTGGGTTCACTAAAAAAATCCCCAAGGAGAAGTAGGGGGATTGGAAACATAAGAGCTACTCATACACAGAGATCTCAGTAATGCACAAAAATAGAGGTATTCAAGAGAGTCTGGGACATCTGAGAGGGGCTTGATAGTAGAGATGTGGAGGTTTTCCTGAGCTGTAGAAGAAGCAGATACTCAAAAACAGTAGGAGTAAGTACAGAGTAACCAGAAAACCACTGTCTGTGGCCCTGAGCTCTGCCCTCTAAGACTACTCTAAGCACCGGGCTGGTCTCTTTTGCCCTCTTGTGCACACTTTCTTACTGGCCGCCAGCGTTTTCCAGTCGAGCCCGCAGCAATCTGAGGGCAGATTTGAAACAAATTCAGCGGCACCAATACCCCGAATAAAGCAGCAAGCCTCCCCAGACCAGGAGCAGCAGCTCCTGCCGTGTCCGCAGCGCTGCGTGCGCGATAAAAGCCTGCCTGAGGATGGCAGCATCGGAGGAGACGGAGAGTTTGTTCCCATCTCCGGGCTTCCCTCGGCTCCCAGAGCCTGCCAGGACGGTGCTGGCATCCCAGCAGCGAGCATTCCGTGCCTGTTTGGCCAGAGCGTGAAGGATGGATGCGCTCCTCAAGCTGCCGCTGTCTCCGCAGACAGCGGGGATTCCTCTGAGCAGCCCCGCATTTTTGGAAAAGATTAGTTGTTACTGAGCTGCTGAGCTGAGCCAGCCGGGCGGAGAACCGCGGCTCAGCTGTGCTCAGAAGCAGTTTCACGTCCTCGATGTGCCGAGGAGGAAAAGTCTCCTCAGGAGGAAACGTGTTGGCACATCCCCGCCCATGCAGCTGGGGCTGGTGACTCTGCTTTGCAGCCCCTCAGTTCCTGCCCTGTGCCCCTCAGCTGCCCTCGCTGAGCCCTCTGCTCCTTCCCACGGCACATCTGGCTGTGTTTAGTGACACTGCAGTCAGCTGAAGTCTGCACTTCCTCTTTATTGCGAGTTATTTCCACACTGCCCCACAGATACTACCGAAATCTCAGGGGATGCTGCTAGAGAAGGTGACCTACAAGTGTCCCTTTCTCAAGGGCTGTAAATAAATGTTATAATTCTGTGACTGTCTCAAACTTTGGCTTAATGTTGATAACACTTTCTCTCTTTTTCTCCCTCTCTTTTTTTTTATTTTTTTTTTATTTTTTTTTCGTTCCCAGAAGCACAGGAGCTTTTGCAGCTGTTACCTTATAAGTTATAACCCAGTCAGAAACCTGACTTGTATATAGACTGTGAAATGGAAGTGTTTGGGGATCTAAATAAAAAAAAAAAAAATCAGGTTCCTCTGAACCTAAGGACAAGTGACCTCATAGTATCATGGACAACCATGTCAAATAGAATGTAGCAGCCATTTATTAGTAAACACAAAACAACAAAAAAAAAAATGCCTGTCCTTGATATATATTTTTTTTTTTTTTGGTGGTACCAAAGTTTAAGTCTTTGTGTTTTTAGAAGGACTATTGAGCTTGATAGAAAAAAAAGAAAATGCTTTTGAATCGTGCAGATAAGCTGTGAAAGGAACTGCTGGTCCTTTCAATGCCACAGGCACTGACAACATCTGCCAGTTCACCTTTTGCTTTGGAATAGTGATTGATTTATGGGAGGAAATGAAGGTGTCACCAGATGGGCCAGAACCACGTTTGGACGGACGGGTGGACGGATGGATGGATGGATAGAGCAGCGTTAGCCATACACAGTGCTTTTTAAAAGCAGTCTGGAGATTCTCACACCCTTCTCCCTCATCCCTTTCCCCCTCTGGTATTTTGCCTGCTGTATGAATTACGATTGTACTCCTCTGGAAATATTTTACAATTTAATATTGAGTGTAATTAAGAATATAATCACTGTTATCAAAAAAGGTATTTAACTCTGTTGTAGTTTCTTTATCATTCATGTGGATAAAAAGTCTATAATAAAAAAAAAAAAGAAAAGTATGAGATAATAGTTGAGCTTCCCTGTAATTTAATGCCATGCTTAGTCCACTGAAGAAAACAAATATCCCCAAGAATACATTTTTAGAAGTATTTTAATTCACAAATAATATGCTGAAGATTTTCATGGTGTAAATTTCTGCCTCTGGTTATCTTCAAAACACTCAGAAGAAGCAGATTTAGTACAGTTTCAGGACATGCCTTGTGGATCCACAGAAATAAAGGCAGTCAGTTGATTTTGAAGGCTGCATTCTCCCAGGTCTTTCTGTGGTGTCCTGCAGCACCCTGATTTTCAGGGCTTTTCTGAGTGAATCCATCTCCTTGATAAAAGTCTCAGTCCCAAACACAAAGGATCTCCCACAGCAGTACAGCACCACCAGCAACCAAAAGTGGTTTCAGCCATACCTAGCAGAGTTTCTTTCTCAATATTCCCCTCATTCCCAGCAAACTCCTGTGAGATTTAATCACCTGGCTTTACAGTTCCTTGGAGCAGCTGGCAGAGCTGGGAGGCAGGGGAGGAAGGGCACAGCCTGTTTTCATGCCCTACCCTGCACAATTTTCTCTGGTGTTAGGTGAGCTGACAAGACTCACTGAACCAGCAGAATTATGGCTTTTGTGGTGTGGGAAAAAAAGCCAGCAAAACCACCAGAAAAGCTGGGCCAGGTCAGACCAAAATTGCACCTGTACCAGTAGCGTGTTCCCAGTAATAGAAGAAATCAGATACTTTGTGAAAGCACACCAGCAATTAGAGATATGTTCCCAGAATATTGTTTTAGCTACTAATGATTTACTGCTTATGGGTTTTCTGACCTAGACTTGATGTCTTGCTTTTAATAACCCTCAATGGATTTTTTAATTCCATGGACACAACCAGTGCCTTTTTAAGACCTAGGCACGCTTTTAGCAGATTACAGCATCTTGTGGTAATAAGCTCCACAGTTTAAATACAGCTTGTGGGGGGAAAACCAGAAAAACAGCTTCTGATGATTGGAGCTGCCAAATTTAGCCTCATTTTATGCCCTGGGCTTCTTGTACTGGGTGAGACAAATTGCCTGTTGACTACTGGCCATGCCTGTCCACTTTCACCATGTCTGACATGATTGCATAGGCATCTACCAAGCCTTTTTGGCTGTCATTTTTCCAGGTTAAGTTGCAGCCATCCCTCCAACATGAGCAGCCCCATAGCTCTGTAGTCTTCATGTACCTTTTCCCAATCAGGTGTATCCTTTATGAGATGCAGAACTAGCTGCACAGAATACTCAGGATACAGGATACTCTATAGATTATTGCACAGAGTGACACTGTGCTGCTTTCTGTGATGAATGAACCCGGCTGCAGGGTGGTGGTAAAAGTCTCTTACCACTATAGATCAAAAATTTTGCCCAGACATAAAGTAATCCCGTTGCTCAATAAGAAATTACCGCCCTAATGGCTTCTGAGTGCCAGAGCTCCTGGATGTGGTCAGGCGTGCAGAGCAACCCCCTCTGTCCCTCACCATTTGAGAACCAGCCTCTTCAGGCCCAGGAGCAGACACAAAGCACCTAAAGCAGATTTATTTGTTCTCTGCTCCCAGCTCAGCAGTGTTTAGACCGTCGTGTTCCCCAGGGACTTCCCAGGGCACAGCCGTGTGTGCTGGTGGAGTTGTGGAACCATGCATTAAATGCACAGCTCACACCAATGACAGATTGAATAAGCAACAAATACGCTTCAAATTGAACACTCAAACTCAAAATGTCCAATTTCCACTTGGTTATTTATGCCCACTCAGGAAATGGAAGCACCATTTACCTGGTTTGTAGCTGATTCACAGACCACAATGGCAAAGGCTGTGGTGGAACATATATCACAGAACTAAGCATGAATGAGGTGTTTTGAATTAAAAAATAATTCCTCATGCTGATAAAGGTCAGGAACGTGATTCTAGAAAACAAATAAGGAGAGGCCTCCACCTAAACAAATCACTTGGATAAATATCCAGGGAAGCTTCTTATCACCAGTCGCTTTTTGTTTGCTTTCCTCTTG